TGCAACTTGCAAAGCATACAAACGCAGGTAAAAAAGAACTATTTTTACGACACCAGATTCTCTGTCCGTTGCTTTTAGTGAGACTGTGGCTAAAATTATCTTGTTAAAACTTCATAGAGCAAGGATTTCGGTTATCACTATGACTTTAGTAACACTTAGTATGTCATATTTTTGGTATTTACTTATAATCACGTGAATAATACAAATGTATGTTTGTGCAAGCAGTTTCACTCACCTGGGCATTGTACGCCGAATCCAGGTCTGATAGTTCATCTAGAACTTCTGAATACATATCAATCAATGATTTCTGGAAAGAAATATGATAATGGTCAACCTACGTTAATGCGACCCTTCTGTGCAGACTTCTGAGACTTCAAAAGCAACTCTTTACGTAGTTCTCTATTCTCCTGCAGCAGAGCTTCAATACGTTTATGAAAAGCCAACTGAAAAACACTTCGTAAAAGTGGTAATTACACTCACCTCATTTTTGAAGATGGCCTCTTGCAACTCCTCAACAGTAACATGCTTAACTTGGCTTTTTGCCGGCTGAAGTTACATATAACTCACTGTATTCAAATACCTTTTTAGCGCTGTCAATCTGTTCGGAAACCGGTAATGGAACATCTCCTACATCTGTCATATGACATATATGTATAATTCACTAAAAGTTCAAACCTTTTGTGGCTTCGTATTTCATCGAAGCTGTGAGCGAATCCTTCTTTTTTTCTGAAGAAGTCTAAAAAGGATACTAGAAATTATATGAACAAACCATCATAGATCCGGCGAGGTCGTTTGCATATTCCCTCAGATGCTTCAGCGTCTCTCTTACATCATCAACGGGGATGTAATCTTTGATAGATATATCAGGAAAAAAGTCCTTCAATTCGTCGTACTTCTGCAGAGATTTTATGGAACGTGATTTCAGCTACCTTTGATATTGTGTAGGAACCTCCAACACCAGCACCTAATGCCAGGTACCGAAACCGTAAAAGCCTCGCTGCTAGCTTCCCAAGCTGACTTGCAATATTTCTCTTCTGTAACAGCAATGGGCTAGCATAGATAATGCGGTTCCTAGACAGCATTTCGGGGAAACTTGATATTATCTACAAACTCATGACGAAACGCACAGTAGAATATGGGCGCCCGAAATTATCAACTTTCCAATGTTTTAAATCGATTCTCAAATTTTCGCTTCGTGGATGAACACTGTAGAATATATATCACAGCGTTCCTAAGCTTATTCTTTATTTGTCCGATCCTCTGGTAACTGAATCAGTGAAAGGTACAAATACCATTCACTACCGAAGTCCCAGAAAATAATGAGTCTTCTTTAATTGTTCTGAATCACCTACATAGTGGCCTAGTAACCAGCGTTTCGTAATAACCATAAGTCTGTTGCGACCTTTATATCTTCCTTTTTACTACTCTAAAATTTTGATATACTAGTCAGGTGACAAAATGTAGATAATTTCTGGAATAGTGAATACACTGCTTGCTTAACTGCTGAAGAATAAGAACGTTTGGCTTCATTAGGGATGATATTTTAGTGATTGACGGTAGTTCGTGGTTGGGCTCACCAGTTTAGGTGGACGAAGGTATCGAACGTTCGCGAGTTGTACGGATTATACTAACGCAAGATCTTATACCAACAACCACTATAGTGTTCGTTCTTCGAGTACCAAATGGTAAAGCAAAAGACCAGATTTTGTCGTCCAAATACGATATATATTTTGGGACCAAATCGCGGGTAGGAATGAATGCTTAGCTAGCTAGTAATCGTGCACGCACGTGACACGACGGAGCACCAAATGGCGGGGATGCTTGACCGTAAGCCTTCAGCTAAACAAGTCGACTTAAACAGTGGTGGTCAGCATCCAATGTTGAGTGATGATTGCTGTGGTTAATAATTTTGGGGAATTATTTACCGCTACAGCTCACTCCCCCCCTAGTGGGTTTGTGAGGACCCTAAGACATGACCAGCCGGAAGTAAAAAAATCTCGATGGTTCCCTGATGGGTGAAAAAAATCTTCCGAGCGGCTTGATCGAGAGCCTGCTGGTCTGTCTGCCTATGCTAATAGGGTGTCTGTACATAGCTTCCTCAATGTTGTTCGTTGGATCCCGTGCTTCGTTTGTTTCCTGTCCAGTGCCCGTTGCACCTGGAAAAGAAAACAAGAATGCTGAGAACCTTGTCAAGAAAAATGTACCAAATAAGCGTTTTTTTACCAAAAATATATGGCATGCATTTACTATACAGTAAAATAATGTTAAGTTCAAAATATCGGGAAAAAAAAATATACATCTAATTTAATTTTATGTACGGTTATAGGAAAAATATCATTTACTTGTGTTAAATGACGCAACATAAAAAACAATTGATGTTTCACTCAGTTATGTGAAATAGGTGTGAAGGTATTCTGGAAATCTAACGTGACGTCCAGAACGCGTTTTCTTAGAGTTATCGACCGAAGTTTCGGTGGCTTTCGCCGTGCTAGGGAGTTCTTCGAAGACTGAAGTAGATTCAATAACTTGTGAATTATCGGGTACGTTTAGCTCCAGGCTAATGGGGTTACCTTCCAAGTAAGCTGGTTTCAGACGGTCGATACTGACGGTGTCTTCGCGGCCTTTTTTGTCTAAAACGAAGAATTTATCCATACGTTTAATCACTTTATATGGTCCGTCATACGGGGGTTCTAGAGGACGACGTACCGAGTCGCGACGAACAAATACATGTGAAGAAGTTTTTAAACAAGGGTGAACGAAAATATCAATGGACTGTGGTCGGAGGGGAGCAGGTTTAACTGAACGCATAGCGTTTGTAAGCCTGCTGACGTATGAGGAGTGATCTACCACTGGTGGGAAGCTCGAGGGAGAAACAAACTCACCTGGCAGTCGTAGTGTTGTGCCATATACTAGCTCAGAGGTAGTACAACCAGCATCGGTTTTTAAGGCGTTTCGTATCCCTAGGAGAACTAACGGAAGGGATTCAGTCCAATGGGTGTTGCTTGCAGCTGACAGACCAGCTTTCAACTGTCTGTGTAGACGTTCTACCATACCATTCGCTTGAGGATGGTAGGCTGTTGTTCGAAAACGCATGCAACCAAGGATTTTAGTCAAAGCGAAGAATAAACCGCTTTCGAATTGCCGCCCACGATCAGTTGTTATGGAAGATGGGCATCCAAAGTTTGCGATCCATCTCTCTACAAAGACGCGTGCGACAGTTTCAGCAGATATATCCTTGAGGGGTACTGCTTCAGGCCATCGTGTGAAGCGATCGATGCAGGTTAACATATAAGTATATCCATGAGATTCTGGAAGGGGGCCAACTAAATCTATATGGACGTGTTCGAAACGGGCATCAGGGATAAGAAAAGTGCCAAGGGGGCTTTTAGTGTGTCGTATTACCTTGCACTTTTGGCAAGCTAAACACGTCTGTGCCCATTCCCTTACTTCCTTGTTAATACCAGGCCAGCAAAACCTACTAGTTACGAGTTTGACAGTAGTTCGAATACCTGGATGGGATAAGCCATGCAACGTATTGAAGACGTTACGGCGATAACTTTTAGGCACGATGGGGCGAGGAGTACTAGTGGAAATGTCACACAGAATAGTATCCTTTCCTATACCTAAGGGTTTCTTGGCTAGTTGTAGAGTTGTTTTCGACAACTCACGCTGAAGCTCAATATCTTCTTTTTGAAGACGAGCCAGTTTTACAAGGTCTATGCCATCGATTTGGGTGAAAGAACAAATACGTGACAAGGCATCTGCCACAGTGTTGTTCACTCCGGAAACATGGCGAATATCTGATGAAAACTGTGAAACATAATCTAGTTGTCGCGATTCCCTGGGTGAATACTTATCTGAAGTTGAGTTCAGAGAGTACGTCAGAGGTTTGTGGTCAGTGAAAATGGTGAATTCACGACCCTCAACTGAATGTCGAAAATGACGTATAGCACAGTACATAGCTAGAAGTTCCCTTCCGAATGTGCTGTACTTCGTTTCAGCTACTTGAAGGCGCCTCGAGAAAAAGGCGAGTGGTTGCCATTCGTTGTTAACTAGTTGTTGCAGAACTGCGCCGATTGCAGTGTCTGATGCATCAACCGAGATACTCAACGGTGCCGTTGGATCTTGATACATAAGAAGGGTGGCATCTGCAATAGCTTTCTTTACCTGAGTAAAAGCATGTCGAGCAGACGTGTCGAGTTCGATAGCCTTGTTGTTCCCTCGAAGGAGATCGGTTAATGGCTGAATTAGAGAAGCACAATTAGGAATAAAACGTCGGTAATAACTTACCAAGCCGTTAAAAGTGCGAAGGCATTTTACTGTCTTTGGCTCCGGAAAGTTCAGTATTGCTTCGACTTTGGTAGCCAGTGGGCGAATACCCTGGCAGTCAATAGTGTGACCCAGAAAATCGAGTGAGCCAACGCCTATCTGACACTTCTGTATATTGATGGTAACACCATGTTGGCGTAACCTTTCAAATGCCAAGTCCAAGTGTCTAAGGTGAGTTTCCTTATCTGGACTGGCAATGAGGCAGTCGTCTAAGTATGCGTATACAAAGTCGAGACCGCGAAATACTTCGTTGATGAAGCGTTGGAATGTTTGTGCCGCATTCCGGAGGCCGAATGGCATACGTAGGAATTCAAAAAGTCCGAAAGGCGTGATGATAGCCGTTTTCGGAATATCTTCCGTTGCCATCGGGATTTGGTTATATGCTTTAACCAAGTCGATTTTGGAGAATATAGATGCTCCAGATAACGTTGCCGTCAAGTCGTGTATGTGAGGCAATGGGTAGCAATCGGGGGTAGTTTTGGCGTTGACTCGCCGGTAATCACCAGTGGGTCGCCAATCGTTACTATCTTTTTTTGGAACCATATGCAATGGGGATGCCCATGGACTATTCGATGGCCGAATGATGCCAAGGGTGAGCATATGATCGAATTCGTTTCTGGCAATTCTCAGTTTGTCAGGGGCCAGTCGTCGTGCTTTAGATGTCACGGGCTGTCCTGAGGTTATGATGTGGTGCATAACATTGCTGGTTATACACGGGAGATCGTTAGATGGGCAATTCAGTTCCGGATATTTGTCAACAATCGGTTGAAAAGTTGGATCGGGGATTGCTTTCATCTTAACGATTGACAAGCTTGGGCCTACGTAAGTTATGCCTTTGATAGACAAACTAGTAGTGTTGTCAATTAATCGTTTACGGCGGACGTCTACGAGCAAATCATGATGATTAAGTAGGTCCGTGCCGATGATGGGCATTGTGACGTCAGCGATCAGAAAAATCCACCGAATAGGTTTGCGTAAACCTACGTTCAGATAGACGTATTTCCGACCATAGGTTGCAATTGGTTTTCCATTTGCAGCCTGTAGGTTGAGGTTAGGATCCTTCTGTCGATCTGCTGCTGTAGCAGGAAGGACGCTGACTTCGGCGCCTGTGTCGACTAGATATCTAGTCTGGCTAATTACATCATGGATGTAAAGTAAGCGGCTAGTGCCACCGGCGACGGTTGCCGCTAACGCGTGCCGGCGGGATAGTTTCCCACAGACTTGGAGGCTTTGCCGAAATCACAAGGTTTTCGACAACATTTCGCTTCCTTGCCATAGGTGTTGTGATACCAACACCAGTCAGGATTTTTGACAGAACGTGTGTTGGACTTAGATCGTCCACGTGCGTTTTGCCGTTGAGGGGATCTAGAACGACGGTTTGAGGAATTGCTAGGCTTGTTTGACCTAAGCATCTGCTGGACGGAGTTGATTAACTCTATCATTGCAGAATCCTTCTTCGAAGTCTGTTCGGTAACAGAGTATACTTCGGTGATTGGCCGTTTCGTTATCTCTAGAATTCTATCTGCAGAGACAGCTAAATCATCTATGAGAACACCCTGAAGTGTCACAAGTACAGTCTGAACTGACTGTGGCAGTTTGGATAAAAATAGTTCTCTAAACAGTCCTTCATCGAACTGACTTTGGCCAATGATCTCTTTCATTCTTGCCAGCATGCTCACGGCTGACTGATCTCCTAACTCGATGTTACGAAATAACTCATCCAGACGTTGTCGATCTGTGAGAACGTTTCTCTTGAGTATGGATGCTTTTAGCAACTCGTACGAGTTACTTACCGACATCTGCAGAGTTACGCACCTGCTGAATTCCCGCGGTAGGGCGTGAATAACTGCAAGGAACTGTGAACGTTGATCAGTTATGCCATGTTCACAAAAATCGGACTCAGCAATCTGAAACCACGTTTCAGCATTATCTGGCCAAAATGGTACTAGCTGAATTGTTTTGGCGGTTGAGCGAATCTGAATAACCTTGGGGCTAGGATCACTCATGACGAAAAGTATGCCGATAACAATATAGTACAAGAATAAACACAAAAAGGAACGAACTCACCGGGTTTATCTGCGTGTGAATTGAAGATGTAGTTCGTGGTTGGGCTCACCAGTTTAGGTGGTTACAGGTTGTCGGGCTCACCAGTTTAGATGATTGAAGGTATCGACGTTCGCGAGTTGTACGGATTATACTAACGCAAGATCTTATACCAACAACCACTATAGTGTTCGTTCTTCGAGTACCAAATGGTAAAGCAAAAGACCAGATTTTGTCGTCCAAATACGATATATATTTTGGGACCAAATCGCGGGTAGGAATGAATGCTTAGCTAGCTAGTAATCGTGCACGCACGTGACACGACGAAGCACCAAATGGCGGGGATGCTTGACCGTAAGCCTTCAGCTAAACAAGTCGACTTAAACAGTGATGGTCAGCATCCAATGTTGAGTGATGATTGCTGTGGTTAATAATTTTGGGGAATTATTTACCGCTACAACAACAATCGCCACACACAACAAATCATTCACCTGCATCCCCGATATCTCCACTCAACGCCAATTGACGAAATCATACCATAGTCATCGGTTGACATACCATCTCGCATGTGCTCTGCACTGCACTGATCCACACTCGCTCACAACACTACACTTCACACGTGATCATGTCTCTTCACCTGACATCATTCATTACACTCACCGCTCACTGTGATATCCGACAGTGAGATGCTCAACACCTGCGTCTAATGTCCAGTTGGCCGATGGGATGTCATGCAATGACAGTGACTCGAAGGCACATCGAGGTTGGGGTGGTGTGGGGGTTGTTGTTATTGTTGTTGTTGTTGTTGTTGTTGTCGAAGTGAGTGGCATGCAATCGTGTGCAATGTGAATCAATGTGGTGTAGCCGACTGTAATCCGAATAAGTCAGTGTAGTTGGGATTGTCGTTGTCGTTGTCGTAGTTATTGTGTTGCTGTTGTTGTTGTTGTTGTTGTTGGTGGTGGTGGTGGTGTTGGTGGTGGTAGTAGACGTTTTGTGCTAGAGTGTGTGTTTCTGTGTTTGTGCATGTATTTGTTGAAATCAGTGCGAGAATGCATGTTCAGTGGTTAATAATTATGTCCTAGTCCGGCACAAATATCTGCTGAGAATTTTCCCACCTGGTTTGATTGGCCTGTGAGACAATTAGATTTGATTGGCATTCGATGTGAGAACAGTTGTCTGAAGATGTGTTTGCTCGTTTGGGTTGATGTGAGTCAGTGTGAGTGTGTCTTTGTGTGTGTGTGTGTGTGTGTTTGCTAGATATATTTGCAAGTATGACCAGTGGATGGTTGTGGTGGGGAGGATGCACATGGCGACAGTGAGTGTTGTGCACATCAGTCGATGTTGAGGAAGGTCGAATCACATATCCATGTGACACGCTGATTTGGGAGAGTGGTTATCGCGGTTCGACGACGACAATTGTGGTTGTATATGGGATGGTGGATGCAGATTCTGTGAGTGTGTGTACGAGTTTCTCTGTGTCTGTGTCTGTGTGTGTCTGTGTGCGTGTGTGCGTGCCAGCGTGCGTGTGTTGGTGTGTGTGTGTGTGTGTGTGTGCGTGTATGGGTGCGTTTGTACTTCGAATGACTGGCTGTTTCGGATGTGGTATTTGTGGAGATTGTTGTGTTGTCAGTGTTGGCTGGAGGGTGGGTGCAGTCGACTGATGCGTGCATTGTTCAGGAAGGTGTTTGGGTTGTTTGCATGTGGTTGTGGTGTTAGTGTGTGAGTGTGTGGGTTTGTGTGTGTGCACGTGCATGTACGTATGCAGTGTACCTCAGTGTTCGGCTCAGGTGTGACAGTTGTGTCAGGAGAATTTGAGTGTCGGACAAAAGCCCACGACGTCAGGAGCAGGGTTCGAACCTGCGCGGGGAAACCCCATTGGATTTCAAGTCCAACGCCCTAACCACTCGGCCATCCTGACACGATGACGGCGCACACAACCAACACCCACTTCTACACACTCCAACAAAAACACTAACACACCCAGAAAACAATCAACCATCCAATCAATCAATCAATCAGTCACTCACTCAACCAGTCAGTCAGTCAATCATGACACAGAAACGCTCACGCTCGCTCATTTATTTATACATGTATATATTTACATGCATGCACTGGTACATTCACACACAACTACATACACTGAATTCACAACACAACAATCGCCACACACAACAAATCATTCACCTGCATCCCCGATATCTCCACTCAACGCCAATTGACGAAATCATACCATAGTCATCGGTTGACATACCATCTCGCATGTGCTCTGCACTGCACTGATCCACACTCGCTCACAACACTACACTTCACACGTGATCATGTCTCTTCACCTGACATCATTCATTACACTCACCGCTCACTGTGATATCCGACAGTGAGATGCTCAACACCTGCGTCTAATGTCCAGTTGGCCGATGGGATGTCATGCAATGACAGTGACTCGAAGGCACATCGAGGTTGGGGTGGTGTGGGGGTTGTTGTTATTGTTGTTGTTGTTGTTGTTGTTGTCGAAGTGAGTGGCATGCAATCGTGTGCAATGTGAATCAATGTGGTGTAGCCGACTGTAATCCGAATAAGTCAGTGTAGTTGGGATTGTCGTTGTCGTTGTCGTAGTTATTGTGTTGCTGTTGTTGTTGTTGTTGTTGTTGGTGGTGGTGGTGGTGTTGGTGGTGGTAGTAGACGTTTTGTGCTAGAGTGTGTGTTTCTGTGTTTGTGCATGTATTTGTTGAAATCAGTGCGAGAATGCATGTTCAGTGGTTAATAATTATGTCCTAGTCCGGCACAAATATCTGCTGAGAATTTTCCCACCTGGTTTGATTGGCCTGTGAGACAATTAGATTTGATTGGCATTCGATGTGAGAACAGTTGTCTGA